GAGCAGACATATCATTGTGTGATTCACGAAGAAAATAATGATGACCGCCTATTCTCCCACGTAATATTAGGATATTACTAGCCTAAATTTTCTTCCTTATTTCAATAACTACGCTTTTAAAATACTCGAAATGAATATTTGTTACAAATAGTACAATTTAATTTCTAAACTTCTGCAAATCTAGTTAGAATTAGAATGAACATATTCTATAATTAAAAAAACGCAAATAATCAAATACTTGTGCATAAATGGGTTAGTTCTCATATTGACTTTAAAAGTGAATTCACGATACGTTTACATGCAGTGATGCTCAATATTTGGCTTTCTCGTCCGCGGTGATCAAATTTAAAACAAATGGTTTCGCTATTCTGTACTTACTTCGAGGAAAAATAAATGACTAAATAAATAAATAAAAAAACTCAGTTTTGAAATATGGTGCTGAAGGTAATATAGGTCGATAAATTAAAAAAAAATTCTATTAACTGATAAATGAGGAAAGAATATTTTATTTAATTTTACTCTTATGTTTAAATCATGCAAATTCCTATGTTTAAATCACGCAAAACAATTCACATTTTATGATTTTTTTAATGATAAGTGTAAAACGAACTCGCCGAATTTAAGCAAATTTTAATCTTGGATTGACGTTAGTTTATATAAAACTTCTCTGGATTTTGAAGGTGAAAGACACAGGGTTTCCTTTTTTCGAGAAGCAAGAGATATTTCCTAGTACGGATTGGAAATGTGATATTTATATCCTGTTTTAAATTACTTATTTTCATATATGTTGAGACTGCATCATTTAAACAGTGTTTTAAATTAAGTATTTCAGGCACAATTAAATAGTACTCTTTCTAAGTGACAGAGTCCTTCAAAACACGTTTCTATGAAATAATTATTTTTAATTTTCTCCAAATTTAAACTTTTAATCGTCCTACTAAAAAAATTGCTATATTTCACATGTAGAAATTAACTACATATGCAAAATAAATCAACGAAAACTTATTTTTAAAGCCTGCATCTTTCTATCTGAAATAGATTTTTACCATATGGGACATAAGTGGATAATTTTACTCCTTAACTTTGCATAAATTTTAAGATCTTTACTACTCAACATTTAGCCTTATATACTAGTATCAACAGACAAATCAAAGATTCGGCACAAGCATTACTACCTCCCCAGAACCAAGAAGAAAGTCTTAGTCTTTTAGATTTGCTCTTTTCTACTCAGAAATGTTTTTACTTAATGCTAAATTTGCCGTATTTTTTAACTCGTGTAAGAACAATGTATTTTTTCTTTTGAATCTAGCATAGTTATGATAACATAATGAATTGCTAGCGACTTGCCATGGAAATCTGCTTCTTGAATGAAAGAACCAGAAGAAAGGCAAACGTTATCTTGATTTCACCACGTGTTAATAAATTTCATGCAGAAAATTGTTTATTAACATACAGTACTTATGTGCTCAAAACTAGTTAAATAAATCCGTTACTAATGCTAGGGAATTATTTTCTCATTTTTTAACTTCTAGTTAAATCAAAATGCGTATTACAGCATATGTAAACACGAACAAAATAAATAAAGTTCGCTTCAAAATGGCAAAACGGAAAACCACTCATATTTTGATAATTGCAATACACTAATTCATTGCAAGAAATACTCAGTTTATTTTACATTTTAGAAAGCCAGAGGAAAGGCGTGCAGCCACGCATGAGGAAGGCATTCAGATTAAAAGCGGCCTCAGTGATAGAATAATTTCGCTTGAAATTAATTAAATTTCCGAATGTCTCCTATAACGCAAATTAAATGTAATCTGGGAAAGATAAACAACAGCTATTTTGATGTTGCCAAATAATTAAGTAAAATACCGTAGTTCCACTATCCTGTTTTTCTACAAATGTTCCTTTATTTATAAACAAAGATTTTCAAACGTACCAACGCATTATAAGATCAAAGGAAGCATTTAAATATATATATTAGAAGGTTTGGTTCTTTTTTAGCCTTCCAAGAATGCATTTAAATACTAACTCGTGCTCCGTAATATATAAAATCTATCACTTCAAACTCCGAAAGACAAATTTTTCATGTTACAGATAACCAAGTATTAGTTTAATTAAAACATAAACCATTTTAAGTAATATGACCTTCATTGTTCTAATTCATATCATTTTTGCAAAATATAAATAACTTATCCGCAATTTCTCTTTCATTGTTTAGTCAAAAAATAATGCTGACAACTACATTCATAATGCTCCTCAGTTTATAACTTATATGTAGGCTATCTGAAAAGTTTCCAACCTAACAAAGGAAAAAGATACTTTTTCTCTAGAATTACTTTTTATTCCTTGTAAGTCTATACATTTCTTCCAGCGATGCTCACTTTTAATTCGCTCAAATCTTTCTTCGCAATGTCTCCTCATTTGACGAAAATCTTTGTCTTCCACGCGCTTCTTTAGCTTAAGGAGTAAAAAAAATCCACTTTGTGCCAAGTCTGGCGAATAGGAGGTTGGTCAAGCAGTTCAAACCGTTAATTCATCGATTTTCGCCATTCCAATATGTGCCATAAATTTTCATTTGAATTTATGTCAGGCTATTGAGGCGGCGTCTTTAATTGGCAAGGAGCATTATGGCGTAACTATTGCGAGATGAGGTTCACTGTATCCTTAAGAGTTATTGTCCTGTTGAAACAAAAATGATGTTCCTAAGCCAAATTTTTGGGGCACTGAATTTCATGTTATGGCGCAATATGTCAATGTACGTTTGTGCTGTCATAATACCATAAATGAAGCACAGGTTCCATACTGCCCCAAACTACAACGCTCCCCCCCAACATGTTTTACAGTCGGTGTTAAATGTTGTTTTCCCAGTTCGGTGTTAGGCTTTCTTCACACATACTGTCGTCCATCACTCTCGAAAATGTTAAACTTCGATTCGTCGGACAAAATAATAGTGTTCCAAAATTCTTCTGATAAATTAAAATGAGATTTTGCAAAATCTAATCCCTTTCTCTTGTTTTTTTCTGAAATGAAAGGTTTCTTTTTAGCTGCAATTTTATAATAACTTCCTTCATGTCAAACATTCTGTATAGTCTGTGCACTAAACGTTTTATGCGAAGTATTGGTAACATCTTTGGCTATCTGGGGTGCAATTATTTTAGGGTTTTTCTAAAACTCTTTAATAATGCCCCGTTTTCCCTTGCAGAAAATATTCGATGCCGTCCACTTCTAATCTTATTTTCCGTCGATCCTGTCTCTTTCAACTTTTTTACAACACTTCTAACAGTAAATAAACTTATGTTCAACTGTATTCCTATAGCACGATAAGTTAAACCCTCATTTCTGAGCTGAATAGTCATGTTTTTAATATTAACATCCAACTCCTTCGACTTCGAAACCATTTTATCACAGTATTAGCAAAATAACGTTTTAAAAGTTTTGAAGTAACACTGCAGACTTTATACTAATAGAGTTTCTTATCAGTCTAAAGACGTGACCTCTACATAACAAAATTTGCATAGCAATTAGCCAATACATTGCCAATACTTTTTTGACATGCAAATTTACGTTTTTATTGTATATTTTGTGTACAGCGCATATTAAATTGAAAGTCTCATTAGATTTGTGTGTTTATTACCTCCTATTCGTTATGTCCAGCTAATTTCCTTTGTTAGGTAATATGATCAATTATAGGCAATTGCCAATACGTTTTTTATCCACTGTAAATGAAATGGCCAGTATTAAAATTGAGATTTTGAAATGTTAAGAAGGAGCTCGTTTCTGGCATGCGGGTGCATACTACGCTATTGTTCCTGCCGGCTTAGATAGTTGTAATTATTCTGCTTTACTTTACTACGTTGCTGATACTTTGATTTTGACGCTACGATTAAAATTGCTGAGCCAGCTTCTAGTATTTATTTAAACTGACTACTAGTTCACGCTTTAACTTGACTTTGATTGTTCTGTTTAGTTGCATAATGACGAGCTGTGCCTGATATTGTTAGCACAAAAGGGAGGATTTATGCTCTAAATTCTGATTAAATAAAATTCTTATTTAAACCTCTCTATGGCTTTATAGTTACTTTCAGATACAGTGATAATTCGCTTCACATCTATTAAAGAATTTTGGACTCATTACCATTTCCAGACCAAGTAAAACCCCATAAGTTTTACAAGGTATTTTCTCCCTCCTTTCCGTATGCCTTCATGGTGTAATTGGAAGCATACTCGACGCGTATTCGAGAGGTCCATAGTTCGAGTCCCGGCGAGGGCACTGCGCATTTTTCATGTCTCTTGATTCAAAATAAATTAATGTATTTACAGTGGCGCCTGAACTAAAATGGTGGTGGACGATAATTCTTCACTACAACATTTTGGCGATTGTATCTCCTAATCTCCAGTGCCCTTTAAAAGGTGTAGTATATAAGGTATTTTCTCACTCCTTTCCGCATGCCTTCTTGGTGTAATTGGTAGCATACTGCCTCCATAGAGAACGTTCTAAGGGAAAATAGCTCCTATTTATATTACACTTGGAGGAAACCACGAAAATATTCATGCAGATACCCTGTTTACCGGAATAAGAACTCGGGTGTAACATCTATTCCCTAGCTACCTTATCCAGCTACCCCTCCAACTAGTGTAACTGCTTCTTTGATGAAATCTGATACTATGAAAGACGCTATGAGTAAATACCAATGAAAGAATGTAACTCAGAAACATAAAAACTTCAAAATGATAGTAGCATTCAATTTGTTCTGATTTTAATAAATAATTCACGATTCACAGGGATAAACAGATATATTCTAGAAACAATATTAAAATGTGGTGGTTCATTAATTTATTTCATATAGTATATAGGTTAATTAATGCTTCATCTAAAGAACCTCAATACTGAATGCAATTAAAAATCGAAACTTCTATTTTATAACAAATATACCTTGAAATTTAATTTTTTTCTTTATTAAATATTAAAGCAGATTTTTCTGTTCTAATTTTAGTTCATTCGCTTTCTTGGGCTTAAATGAGCTAATGACCAAGCAAGACAAAGCTTGAAAATTGTATCCCTTATTATAAAAAATTGCAGGAAGAAAGCATGATGTAAACAAGTGATCAGAGAAATCCCTTAGGTAGGGAGAAAATTGAAGCTTTCACCTTGGAACAAACGGTAAGTTAAAAGAATAGGGAAGTCATATAGTTTTTAAATGTCGAACCCAAATCTTATGAAAATTATAGATATGTCTTTTTTGTTGCATAAAAGTAAGTACGATAAAATTGTTTATCAGTTTAACATATTCTGTTGTTCAACTTCAAAAGTGTCCAATGTCATCTAGCAGCATGTTGTTGCTTCTTGAAATGCTTATTCATTTACTGTTAAATTTTTACGAATTTTTACGAATCTAAGTTACACTCTAAATATGTTTATTACCATCAATAACTCATCCTATTTTCCGCAATGCATTGAAGGTTTAGCCCCATATCTTTATGCAAATCCTAATCTTCTACGCAATGTTTGTTTACCAGGAATTATCAGCTGAGCGATTAGTGAGAGTTGTTTTAATGATTAACATTTTGACCTTCTGACTTACCACAGCTGATAATCAGCGAGCTCTATCGGCAACTTTATTTCTTTCCTGCTATGACTTTTTAAAAGGAAAGAAAAAAAGGAAGTAAATTTTCAAAATACGAACGCATTATTCAGATAGACATAGCAACATGTTTTTAAAATCGAATGCACACAAGTGTAAAAATGGTAATGAAGTGCATATATATTATCGAAAGTGTTACACTATTTTACGGAAGCAAATTTAAAATTTATGGGTATTTTTTTCAAATATATTTTGATTAATACCCATTGTAAAAACCAAAGCAATGAAATGTGATATTTACACAGTGTAAGAAACAAAATAAGTACAAGGGCTATATACAAAAACGTACATAAGAGCAATATACAAAATAAGTATGTAAGGGCACGTTGCCTGGAATCAACAACGAACTTTTAATTTAAACGCGCAATTAGGTGCTTTATCAAATTTATAAACTTACCAGAGCATAGTACTGTTCTTAACTTTTAATTATGCTTGATGGGCAATATAGCCTTACTTAACAAAATGTGTTTCTTTCTATAAGCATTAGAGTAACCATAAAATAACAAAGGAAACGCACAACATTTACGTTAGAAATGAAATGTTAAATTATCTTGATTTATTTTTTATGCCTCCTACACATTATTTACGGCAGCCCTAGTTTATTTCCTTTTTCTTCTACAGCTATTGATTGATGATATGTTTTCCCTTTGGTGACATCATACGATGCTTCTGTGCTGATTCGTGAAATTAAAAGCGACGTATGGAGACGTAAATTCCAAGGTGAAGTTTTTTTAATACCATTTCCGAAATGAAAAATATGGAATATATGAATCCACTGAGATTCTACAGTGGGTTTTGAGCGATGAGGCGAAATGAAATAATATTAAGCCATGGAAACAAATTAAATAACAGACAGATAAAAAATGCACTGAGCTCAGAAGAATTTACGCAAACTCTGAAATATTAAATTTGCTAGAAAATAAATGATATAAAGTTTCTAATGGGTTTCACTTCATTGTTTACAAACGCAAAAGTTTAAGGATGATTGGCTTTCCGTGTGAGCATTGATGGTTTTACTTTCATTACTATATTAGTAAAATAGCACTTGTACTGAAATAATAAATATTCTTTTCTCATCCTTGTGATTACATTTTATTGAAAATCAGCTACTTGCAACTAATTCGACTTCTTTTTTCCATAAAGCTTTATTTATAGTTATTCCGTTTAACTTCAGTACATTGATTATGTAAGGGGATTACGTATTATTTACTTTTAGTCTTTTTATAATCTGTGCATAAAATGTTCTAGGAAATATTAACTTAAAAAAGGCTCGTTATGAAACGCTTTTACATTTCCCATTTAAGATAATTCATTACATCTCATTTTAGAGAATGTATTCTTTTTTATTCCTTAATTCACACTTTTCTTATTATAATTAGCAAAAAATCTTATTAGGTTCCAAAGCAGGAAACCGAAACGCATAAACGAATTATCTAGAGTACAACAATTAGTATTGTTCAAAGAATATACAAGCCCTTCTAACTGTTTTCATACAGATTTCTAGTTATCAGTTTTAATACCAATACTTAACGCAGTCTTGCAAGTTATATTTATTTATAACTGTTGGTTAATGTCAATTAAGAAATTTTCGGTGAAATCAAAAATACAGTTTCTAATCCATTAAGGCTTTGCCGTTTCGAAATCTACTTTCAGTAGCAAAAGGTTTAAGTGTCAGTTATGGTTAAAACTTTTCCCGAGAAAATAAAAAAGGTATTTTAAAACTTAAAATCTTTTTTTTCATTGGAAAAGAATATTTTTCGAGATATAATGAAATAAAGCATCAAATGATTGAGATGTTTGTCCTATTATATGTTGCAGCATTCGTAATATTCTACAATTCAGACTTCCATAGTGTAAGCTTTCATTACTTTTCTATTAACTGTAAAATGTAGTTGTTAGCAAATTTATAAATGCTGTTATTTAATACACATAAAATATTAGCATTTATGTTTTTTTCACGTTGTTTTGAACTAGAAGTAAAATGCTGGATTGCGTTTTTAATTCTTCGTAAAGTTTTCTGAATTTTTTAAAATTCTCTCAGAAAGGTACATTTTAAGGTGAGATGTCACTCCAGGGAAAACCACTGTTCGCAAACTAAATTGTTTTTCACACATAAGCAATCACGCCAGATGGGAGATACTACTGTAGTTTTGGAATTTATAAAAGTGCTCGCCGTTCGAAACAAACAAAAAAAACGATTTTGGAATTTATTCATGCTTTGTTTCCATGTTATTAGGGAACTGACGATTAATGACAGGTAAAGGCAAGGGAAGTATTGGTTAAAATTAACTGTACTTTTTTCCAATATACTGTTTGCACTAGTTCAAGTGAGCGAAGGGATCATTAGGTAACTGGTTTCTTTGCCATAGATAATCATAAGTAGCCATGAAAACTAGTTACTTGATCTAGTTCTCTTTTGGTTTCTTTTGGAGCTGAATTCGTTTTTAGGAGCTGAATTCTGCTGAGTTCCTATGACGTTCATGGTCTGTTTTGCAGTTGCAAATGTTTCATCAATTACTCTTTGCCAATCAGGAATCATCAGCACACTTTTTTACTCGAGATTTCTCAAACCGAAAAAAAAGGGAAAGGAAATGAAGCATTTTTCTCATGGCCCGTATGGTGTAATAGGTACCATATCAATTTGGAAATTCGATTCTCACTTCCAATCTGGGTTAGAAAACAGGACATAGTCTACTTTCCTACGATGCGTTGCTCTAAGTTCCTTGCTGGCACCGGCACCGCAAATGATAAATAAAAATCATTTACTGAATTAAAACTATTGAATAGGGTATTTTCAGGTTTTCCTCAATCGTCTTTTATAGGTGCATTAATGTATACTTGCTATATGCTTTTGTAGTATAAGCAACAGCAAACTGATACAACTGAAAGGAATCTAGTTCGAGTTAGGAAAATCCATGCGTGTTTTCCTACAATATGACATTCCTTTTGCCTTCGCTACAAAGATACCACCACATTAACTAAGATTTCGTTCAGGGTTCATCATTAAACCATACTTAGATTAAGAAAAGGTGCTAACAATCTAAGTTTATTCAGTTCTGGTAACTTTTTGTGAAGTTTAGTGAGCAAACGCCCTATATGGAATTCTGAAAACTTCCAATCGTTTCACTTGAAACGAAGATTTGGGAACTCTGAGTCTTGGGATTTCGGGATTTCTCGTAAACAACCTTTCTAAAGAGAGGTATTTTATGAAAAAGTCCGACCTTAACCCAACATTTTGTTTTTTGATTCAAAGGCATGCTAAAACATCCCCAGATTTTCTAATTCTTTTTATTTGTTTAACTTCTATTTCATTTACTTAGCTCAATTTCAAAAAGTGTTGCTACGCAGCATTTTTTGTGCGTAATTCAGCCTGAATGTATTCAGATAAACATTTAAAGGTTAACTACAGAAATTCCTTTATCTATTGTAGAAACGTTTGAGAACGGTTATTATATTCGTTATCCTAGATTATTCCAATACGATATTAATTATAAAACTTAATTAGTTCTCTGCAATAAAACTTGGAAATATACATTAGTTTTATTCATATGAGACTGGCCTAGCATTCACACATCATTGATTTTAAAGTCCATCCCATTTCATATTCCAACAGGCTTCCACAGTTCGAAGCTCTAAGCCAATAAACAAAAAGAAAACAGTGATAAGCCAACAGTTCTTGCGTGTGATGCCCCCCGGAGTATGTTCCAAATGCATTTTAGTGATCATCTTTAAGGCACATTTTTCAGGCTTTTCCATCATCAGAATAAAATAATCGTGGTAACTAAATAAATATGCTTTTGGAAAAAAGCTTTGTGGGGACGTGTATGAAAGCATCCATTTATCTCACGCAGTGGCTCTGGGCTTTATGCCAATTTCCTTTGTAGCAGTCAAAGAGGAAAATCTTCATTTACTTGTAGGAACATTTAACATATTTCAGAAACTAGTGTTTGGGAGCCTTTAAATATATCTCTCTGCCTTACATCAACATGTGAATGCAATTTCAGGGAAAAATATACTGGAATGCAGAAACAATATTTCATAATTTCCAGAATTATGTTTGAAAAAAAGTGAAATATTTTTGAGGTTTAAAATATAGTCAAATTTGCCAGTTCAAACCATTTTTTTAGTTTATAAATATTCAGACTTAAAGTAAGGAAACATAAGGAAACTTATATTCTAGCTTTAAAAGGTCTATAGAACGTATAACACAACTAAAATGCATAACAGTATATAGGATGTAAAAGTTTCTCATAACTGCATATAGTCCCAATTAATTTTAAAAATGAATTCTAAATGTCATTTCTTTATTTTGTTCATGAAACTTAAGTACTAGTTTACATTGAAATAAGAGCTGGTACTATGCATTAAAGCGCCACTAGTGGCCAAATAGTTAAAACCGCTAAGTACTAGCAGTTTGACCCGATTCGAATCCAGGCAAATGGACTAGCTGCATCCTTGATTTTCATTGTTTTCAAGGTACATAACTTGAATACAAAACCCTTTTCCTTTGGAAAGTTCTCCCTCGAACGCGTCTCTCCGTCTAGGTGCTCTGCCGTATCCAGAATAACCTAACCTAATTTATATTTACTGTTGTTACTTGCAAATATTGTTTCTAACAGAAAATGAAATAATAATGAATAATAAAAAGGATATCAATTGTTTCACATACTCCTCTTGGAATAATTCCTCGTATATGTAAACTTATATGTTACCCTGTTCCCTTACTTCTCATTGCATAGTTCAAAACCGTCTTATCCTAGGACCGAAGAGTAAACTTAAGGAAATAATCCTATGTACTAGGTACGATTTCATCTTATAAACATATCTTTAGTATATATTCAGCTTATAAATGCATTTTTATATGTATTTCGTTGAAGAAAAATTATAATAACAACTTGATTGAAGCTATGCGTGCTCGAAGAAGCTTACATTCAAACGTAAGATTTTATACCTGAACTAAGGAAATCTAGTGTCTAATTTTTTTAGGCTTATTGATCTTTTAAAACAAATACCACCCTTACGTCATTAAAAAACATTCATTTATAATCACACACTAGTAATGATTCGGATATCAAATCAAGTTATACTTGACATATTTCCTTGTTGTTTATATATGCTGAAGTTTCTTTTAATTCTATATTTTTTATGCCAGGTGTACATTGTTATCAATAAAAGTTGAAAATAATATCTTTTTTTTTCAGAGAGTTATTGGCACACAGAGAGGGGCATAATAACTTGAAATGTTGTAGGGTTTATATTTATTTTAACTAACATTTATTTTAAGTTTAAACTATCTTTCCTGTCAAGCCTTACTTTCCCCTGGAATTGCCAATGCCAGAGTATGTAAATTTTAGTAGAACGCGCAAAGTATTCAAATAGTCAGCAGAAGTATTCTGAGTTAAATAGAAGGGAAAACGAGTTCGAAAGGGTGCTTTCTTGCTTCACGAGCGTGGAGGTGGCTAGTTAGAAATTGAAGAACCACGCGTTTCGGCCTTGTGTGCTTGCCTCGGTAGATAGTTAAATCTTTCTTCAACGTAATATTCAGAAGTTTGCTGAATTGTCAGTGTATCTTAGAACGCGGTTAGGTTAGTTACGTTTTAGAGAGCCTCGTAGGTAGTCACTTGTTATTATTCATTTTTTAGTTTCTTATTTTTATTTTACCTACCGCCGGTCGGCGGTAGTTTGTGAGCGTCAAGAGCACGCATCTGTAATTTCTAAAGTTGAATAAAAAGGGATTTAAACCCTTCTCAAGACTTTGTGTAATTTCCAGTTCATAGCAGTCACCACTATTGTTGCGTGCAGGTTGGAAGCGCGCAACATTACAAAGTTATATTAATAAGTTATACTGATATATTTGGGAATAAATAATATTCCAGAAGTGAAATATGATCAAATTGGTATAAAAAGAACTATGAAGAATGGCTCTGTCTAAACCAAAACAACTGAAACATTCATATAAATGAATCAATTATGATAATGAGAAACACCGTCATGAATGATAAGAAATAATATTTATGAAGTGATTCGAATTAGTTGGTATACATCCCACTACTCCGAAGTAAAGAAGTAGAGTGCTAA